CCTTAAAAGAAACAAAGAGGGTTAGGTTGTAGCTCAACAGCAGAGCACCAGTGTGGGTGAGTCCCTAGCTTCAGTTTCTGTTACTGGAGAAAAAGGACACCCACCCCCCTCCACCACCACCCCACACCACACCATTAGAACTGGGTTGTGGGTCAGTACTTGATAAGCTAAAGCCTAAGTCCTTGGGTTCCAATCCAAGCACCACAAAGGATTTAAAAAAAATTCCCTAGTTGGGATAGTGTTTGTGTGCGCGGTGTGAAAATTGTTTCTGTATATTCATTTTTTGTTGTTGTTGTTTTGCTTTTTGTTTTGTTCAAGACATGTTTTCTCTGTGTAGCCCTGGCCATCCTGGACTCTCTCTGTAGACCAGGCTGGCCTCGAACTCACAGCAATCCTTTTGCCTCTGCCTCCCCAGTGCTGGGATTAAAGGTGCCACCTGTGCCCTCCTGTCTCTGTGAGTTTGAATGCAGATCGTTGTACTGGCAGAGAGGGGAATCCTGGCCAGACTCTGGTATTGCTATTCTTGTGGTTTGCCACCTGCCTCATGGTTTGCAAACACTCTTCCTCGCTCACCCTTTGACTGGCTTCATAAAGAGCTGAGGACCCATAGCTAGGCAGGAGCAGAGAGGCAGGACTTCCTGCTGAGAGAGGGTTTACCAGTGTGACACAGGAAGGGCCTGGGGCTTAGTGAGAGGCAAAGAGCCAGCCGCATGGCAAGATGTTCAGTTAATGTGTATGGGCTAGCGGAGAGCCTGCCCAGCTCTAGTGCCTGAGCTTTTGCTTGCTTGCTTGCTTGTTTGAGGCAGGACACTGTTGGTGAAGCATTCCTCTGCCAGTGGCAGAATCAACTTCTTGGGATTCCAGCATAGACTGAAGACCTCTGGGATTCCAGCACCAGATCTGACTGCTGAGATATCTAGCCTCAGGGATCTGGTTAGCTACCACATCCTGGTTCTTTCAATCGTGACACAGCCGTGGTTGAACGGCCCAAACTGCAGCCCGTGAGTCATTCCACTGAGGCCACGTCTTAGAGACGCCACGTCCACGGCAGCGCTTATAAAGGAAACAGTTAGCTGGGGCTGGCTTACAGGTTCAGGGGTTCAGTCCGATCATCACGGTGGGAGCGTGACAGTGTGCAGGCAGACTCGGCACTGGAGAAGCTGAGAGCTCTTCATCCTGATCCGCAGGCGGCAGGAGACCGTGGGCCACACTGGGCTGAGCTTGAACACAGGGGACTGTAAAGCCCGCCCCCCAGTGACACACTTCCTTCATCAAAGCCTCACCTCCTAATAGTGCCACTCCCTGTGGGCCAGGCATTTACACACAGGGCCCTTCCTAGTCACCCCCTCCTAGGCCCTCACTCTCCCTCTCAACTCTGTTCCTTGAGTGAACCTGGACTGATAAACTGTTAACAACCCAGTTTTAGGGAGACAGTGGTGTGTGGGGGTGGGGGTGATGGTGGAGGCCCGAAGCACCCCCTTCCATCGTTTCTGTCGCTGCAGTAAAACAGCATGACCAAGGCAACTTATAAAACAGAGCGTTTCCTGAGGACCTACGCTTTCAGAGGGTCAAAGTTCGAGATGGCAGAACAGAGACGGATGGTAACAGGGCTGGAGCAGCAGCCAAGAGCTCGCCACAGGCAGGAAGCACACAGCACTCTGGGAATGGCGTTAGTCTTCTGAAGCCCCACACCAGGGACACACCTTGTCCTATGAGGCAGAGAGCCCCCAACTAGCGGCCAAGAATTCAAACAGCTGAGACGTCCAGGACAGCTCTTCAAACACAGCCCCACAGAGGACTTACAGGCAGTTGTGAAACAGTGGTGTAGGTCCGGGATCTAGTTCACATCCTCTGGAAGAGAGCAGTTGGACCTCTCAGCCTCAGTGGGTCTCAGTGGGATTTTTCTTTTTTAAATTAATTTATTTTTTGTTTGGAATACATTTCTGTCTGTGAGTCATAAATGGGATCTTGCTATGTACTCCTAGCTGGTCTAGAAAAATTTCTTCTTCTTCTTCTTCTTCTTCTTCTTCTTCTTCTTCTTCTTCTTCTTCTCCTTCTTCTCCTTCTTCTCCTTCTTCTTCTTCTTCTTTCTTCTAAGACAGAGTCTCAGTATATAGCTCTGGCTGGTTTCCAACTAACTCTGTAGACCAGGCTGTCCTTGAACTCACAGAGATCTGCCTGCCTCTGCCTCTGGCATGTGCTGGGATTAAAGGCCTGTACTACCATGCCTGGTGATGGAGCTTTCTTTTCTTTTTAATTTGTTTTTCTTTTGGGGCTATACAGATGGCTTAGTGGTTAAGAGTATTTGTTACTCTTGCAGAAAACCAAGACCTGGTTCCCAGTGGCCCATAACCCTCTCTAAATCCAGTTCCAGGGCATCTGTCACCCTCTTCTGGCCTCCCTGGGCACCAGGCTTGCAGTGGGTACACCACAGACATGCACTCAGAGGAAACAAATAAATCTTTTAAAATGTGTAAACAGCACTAAAAACTCCATTCTGCCTGGCAGATGCTGCTGTGCTTGGTCAGTTCTTCATTTAACTTAACATTAAAGGCCGTATACCTAACAGCATACTTTGCAACCACAGCGCTCAGGAGGCTGAGCCGGCAGGATCTGGAATTCGAGGCCAGCCTGGTCAGCCAGGTCTACACAGAGAAGCCGTGTGTCAAAAACACAAACAAACAGACGGAAGCCCTCTATCCACATGGCCACCCTCTGAAGTGCAGAGGCAAAGTTTCAGCACGTGACTTTGGGAATGGCAGGACCCTAGTCACAATTCAGATCTTAATCTCAGCCAGGCACAGCCATACCTGATTCTCACCTTAGTCTTTGGGAAGTAAGAGGCAGGAGAATTAGGAGTTCATGGCTGCGCCTTCAAGAATTTCATGCAGGCTGAACTATGTGAGACTGTGCCTCAAAAACAAACAAAAAAAAAGGGGAGGAGGAGCTAGAGAGAGGAGGAGGAGAAAGAGACTCCAAACCACAACTGAAAGGTTCATTCTACCTATTAGTGACATTAAAAAAAGGATTGATCAATTGATTGATTGGTTGGTTGACTGATTTTATCTGAGTGCTTTGCCTGCATGTGTGCCTGCTCACCAGAAGAGGGCGCCAGATCTCACTAGAGATGGTTGTGAGCCACCATGTAGTTGCTGGGAATTGAACTCAGGACCTCTGCTGGACGAGCAGCCAGTGCTCTTAACCGCTGATCCTTCTTTCCAACCCTTGGATGACATTTACTGACGTGTTTTTGGTGATTACATTGTGGACATCTTTGTGAACACTATTTGTGTCTACACAAGCGACAGAGCCAGGGGGAGAAGGTCATGAAGCCTGACTGGAAAATGTGCTCTAGAGCACGTGTCAAGGATGCTAACACTGAGGTTTCTGACCCCAGCTCAGGTTCAAGGTCCTGAGAACACAGTCAGGCTTGGTGGGGGAGGACAAAGGAAGACAGGAAGTGGTCTCCTTCTGAAATTCAGAACCTGGCCATCCCAAGCTTGAGATGAAGAATCCTCTGCTTCCCCGTGTCCCGAGGTATTGTGTGAGACCTCCTGGCTATGCTGAGCGAGAAAAGGATAAGGGGATGCCAACTGCAGGATAAGGGGATGCCAACTGCAGGATAAGGGGATGCCAACTGCAGAATAAGGGGATGCCAACTGCATTTATGCCACTGCCAGCCTGGGAGGCCCAAGCTGCAGCTCTGAAGCCACGACTGAAGACAGAGTGCGGCAAGCTAGGCGGAGGGGCGCTCACCTTTAGTCCCGGCACTCGGGAGGCCAAGGCAGGCGGAGCCCTGTGAATGCCAGTCCAGCCTGGTCTGCGAGCGAGGTCCAGGACTGAGCTTCCAGTCATCCTGTGACCTCCACACACAGGCTGAGACACACACACACACACACACACACACACACACACACGCACAAAAGAAAACAAAACATAACAAATAAAAAATTAGAATGCAAAGAGAAAGAGCTGCTATCACTAAAATCTCCCAACCTGTAGTTCACACTTAAGGTGTCTACCCACACTGGACAGAGGTTGGCCATGGGGACCCCAGAGGAGGGCCCACACTGGGCTGTGTTCCTGTGTGTGGGCACACGCATGTGGAGGGCAGAGGTCGACCTTGGCATTGTCCTCGGCAGCTGTCCACCTTACTTTTCACCATCATCATCGTTATAACTATTATTTGAGGTAGAACTGAGTTGGAGGCCACACCCATCAACGGTAGCTCCAGAAGCCGTCTGAAGCCGCAGGCTGAGGCACCAGAGAGGCCTGGGGGAGGGCTGTCTAACCCTCCTTAGGCTTGCCACTGACGCACAGCACCCGGTCCAGGCTCAGCTGCCAGGCCGCGGCCCACGCCAGCCCCACGGCACCCACAGTGCCCCATGCTGGCCACGGGGATCCCGTTCTTGACCCGGAGGTTGTGCGGGCCTAAGAACCTGCTCAGCATCGCTGCGGGATCTCCACCTCAGGGTCACCCTCTTTTCATTTAAAAGCTGTTTTTACATTTATTTCGTGTGTGTATCTATACACTTGCTTACTCACACATGAATACCTGGAGGAGGTGAGAGGTCAACCCCGGGTCATCAGGCTTGAGAGACAGAGAGAAAGCAAGCCAGAGAAAGAGACAGACAGACAGGAGAACCGAAGCAGCATCCTCTGGAAGAGCAGCCAGTGCTCCTAACCACAAAGCCAATCCTCTACACTCTTACAAGCCACACATTTGGAGGTGACCGGAAGGCCTGTGGGAGCAGTTTCTCTCCCGTCACCCCGTGGCTCCTGCGGACTGACCACGGTTGCCACTCAGCAGCAAGCATCGTCCCGATGAGGTGTCCGCCTGCCTGGAGCCCATTATCTGCAGGCAGTCCCCTTAGCCACAGAGCAGTTCCCCCGTCCAGAGCGTCCTGCCTGCTGTCAGGAGCCTTCAGTCCCTCCTCCCCAGGCCTCCAGTGACGGATGGGGAGGGAGGGCATCAAAAGGAAGCTGAACTCTTACAAACGGACGGTTACAGTTGGTTTATTGACATCTAATCCCCTCGGGCCTCCCAGCACAGGCCACCTGTTCGTAATAGATAATGACCCTGTTCACCTCATCCACAAGAGGGCCGGCGGCAGCGAGAGCGACGTCCCAGGGCGACAGTACGGCTCGCCCGCCCTGCAGGCCCAGGGCGTGGACGAGGACCCTTGCCCGCAGCGCTGCCACGGCGCGGGGGGGGACCCGGGGGGGCCGGGGGGGGGGGGGGGGGGGGGCCCGGGCGCTCGGGGGGGACCCGCGTGCGCTCGGGGGGGCGGGCGCCCGCCTCAGAAGTTGTTGTCGATGTTCCAGACGTCGCCGCTGAGCGCGTTGGCTGCCCCCTGCAGCGTCCACGTGAGCAGCGCCAGCTGGCGCCGGAAGCGGCCCTCCTGGAAGCCCGGGCCCGGGCCGGCGCCGTCGGCGCGCAGCATCCGCAGGTGGTCCAGCAGGGCCCCCAGGGTGTGGTCCCCCTGGCCCAGGAAGATGTGGCGGAACGGGGAGTCGGCCGGCGACACGTACTGGGACAGGAAGTAGAACTCCACCTGCAGGGCACAGCGAGAGCAGGCGGAGGTGCCCGCGCGTCCGCGCCCGGGGCTGCCGGCCCCTTCCTCCCTGCCGCGCTCTAGGCGCAGAGCCTCAGCCAATCAGGAGCGCCCGTCCTCGGCGTCATCAGTAGCCGGGCAGAGCTGCGGCGCCACCCCGGCCGGCCGAGCCAGCGCGGGAGCCTCCCCGGCCTGAGGTCCGGGCATCCGCCGCCGAGCCTGGCTCCCGCCGGGCACCGGGCTTCGAGCCACGACCCCGCGCCCACCCGGCGGACACCCTCCGGCCCTGCCAGCCTGCTCTCCTTTGAAACAAAGACCCGCCGTGGTAGCTCCGTTCAGCCTCGCAGACCCGAGTGAGCGGACTCACAGCTGGGCACCGCCACGCGAACCGCGCACGCGCCCTTTAAACGTCCGCTCAGTAGTCCACGCGTGCCCGTGGGCACGGCCTCCAGGTCCCTTGGCCAGATCTCTCACGGGATCCTGCCCTACAGAATTAGGGGTATCTGGACATGGCTCGCTCGTATCAGCTTTTTTGTTTTCTTTTTCCCAGACGGGTTTCCCCGTGCAGCCCTGGCTGTCCTGGACTCACTCCTTAGACCAGGCTGGCCTCGAACTCAGAGACCCCGCGTGCCTCCTGAGAGCTGGAATTCCAGGCTCCTCAGAGGCTGGGGACGTGGGGAGGGCGTGAGGCGTTTACTTCCATCCCTGACACCCTCGTTTCTCCCTTTTCTTCTCTTCTGGACAGGCCAAGGCTAGCTACCTCAGCCTCTGAAGAGACAGGAACACAGGCGTCCCCGCACCCGGTTCTATCGGTACCAGAGTCGAAACCCAGGGCTTCGTGCACGGCAGGAAGGCCTGTGTCAAGGGGGCCAGGCCCGGGTCCGCTTTCTCCTTTCTGTCCTGTTCCTGCCCCTACCCCGTTTTTCTATTTCATGACACTGAGCACAGGCTGTGGTGTCAAAGTCCCTCGTCTTCAATTTTGGCTCCATCACTTAAGTTCGCTTCTCTGCCCGCCTCACAGCGGAGCGGAAGTCCTGCTACTGAACAAACAGAAGTTGCTGGCCCTGGTCGCCCTCTACGCGCCAGCCGCTCTCATTTAGGATGATGCGGCCTTCTCCGCCCTCCGGCTGTGCTCCCACCGGGCTGCGCCGGTACGAAGGGCAGACAGCCTTCATGAAGTCTGCTCCCCCTCCGGCAGTCTCCTCTCCACAGTCCTGTCTACACACGCTGTCCAGCCAACTCACCTCCTTGTAAGAAATTTTCGCGATGCCCAGACACCCAAAATCCAACTCCCGAGCCTGGCCTGGGGCACATGCTATGAGACTAGTTACTTGCAAGGATGGAATCAAAAGTTCAAAGTCTACCTGGGCTACAAAGTGAGTTCAGGATTATCCTGGGCAGCTCTGCAGGATTTTCTTTCAAAATGTGAATGAAAGGTGGGCTGGGGTGTGGCTCAGTGGTCACCTGCCTAGAATCCCCCAGTGAGGGGCTGGGTGTGGCTCAGTGGTCACCTGCCTAGAATCCCCAGTGAGGGGCTGGGTGTGGCTCAGTGGTCACCTGCCTAGAATC